GTTCATTTCGTGATGATATCTTCAATTCTCTAATTTTGGTGAATATTTTGGTCATTTTTGGTAGAAAGTGATATTTTCGACTTCTTGTTAAAAACTGTAAGTCCGATTGCTTTGATACTATACATATTGTTCATTTTCTAATGTCTTCAGTTCTTTAATTGAAATGTGCATTGCTAACAGCGGAGCTATCTCAGCCGATAGGCTGCTTGTTAATATTCATTATACATCATGTCACAGATATACGGATATATTGGTTTGATGATCTTTTTCAAAGTGTGCTATTTTTGTGCTAAAAAAATCCTCGAATATCAAGCATTTATGGGTTGATTTTGTTCGAACTTGTAACACACGTTAGACATTACAGGTTCCTGATGCATGTCATTTAATTTTTCGATTGGATTCAAAATAGCTGACTGGCGGCCATTTTGTTTTAATGATTGGGCTTCTAGAGCCATATCTCTTAAATACTTTGACTGATTATATTCAAATTTTATATATTCGTTATACATCATGTTATATATATATATATGCATGTATTAAAAATGGCTGATTTTGAATGCTGTTCCAGAGCAATATCTCTCAATATGGACAAGTACTTGTTTGAGGATCAGATACAAATGTCAATCATTTTAATGTTAAAAAAATCATATTCCTGACATGGTTATATTCCAGCTATATTACTATAAACGTAACTATATATCTCAAATTTTATAACTAACTGGGACTGTGCCATGCATGGCTTGTTTTCATTTGATCTTCCACATAGTACAATTACGTCTCATCTATGTTTAGTTAATCGTTACAAATGCGATTGTAACCTATGATTAGACAGTAACAAAAGTCAAAATCAACAAATGGAGAGATTTTATTATGTACACAAACACACAAATAGTTTCTCCGAAACCGTCAAATGATCTGTTCTTTTGCACCACCTTACCATCAGACTAATAATGAATTATGAATTGTTTAGGATATCAGTAAACTGTTTGTTTTTTTCGTCGTATTAAATTCTGCTTCAACTATATTCTTTGATTCCACGGCATGTAGTTGACAACAACCTCGATCCCTTAGGTGCTCAGTATCACCCCGAGGTCATTCCGAATTTCAGGATAGTCATTTCTAACTCGCCAATAATTTTCAAAAGATCATACATTGATGCTATTCATGCTGAGTATTGTTTATTTCAATAGCAATTGCACCTGACCTTACGACCTATGATGAGGAAACAATGGAAGATGAATCTATCCTTCCAGTACAGCAGAAGTTGATGGCATCTAAGTTTGATGCAAGCAAGGATAGCAAGTTCAAAGTTCAAGAATCATTCAACAAGGTGAGTCGACTATTCCATGAAGTTCTTGCCCAGTCATTATCCAAAGTTATAACCTCTCCTTGCCTATATTTACAATATCAAATTCCATCAGCCCCCAAGTCTGTCTAACTTTGTTAACAATATTGAATTCAGTCTTAAAAAATCTGACAACTATATTGTATAGTTTGTGAGGTAGAAATAATAGTATATTATTATGAACTGGAACAAAACTCTTCACATAAAGTGTACTGATGTGCATTTCAGCCTAGACAGATAAGCATATGCAAGTTCAATGCTATCCTCAGACAGGTGCACTAGTGTAAATCCAAGCCAAAATAGATAATACAACCATGGAACGCCAAACACCTACTGGTTTAGGTCACATCATAAAAACGATAATGAACTATGTCGTGTTTGATTCAGAGTTGTTTCTATGCGTTAATAGAGAACTTGTCTTGCATATAGCAGACTCCTCATCCAGTATGGTGCTGGTAGGAAGTTAATGTTGTCTTTACTTTAATAGCTGCATATTGGGAATTACATTTTCGTGCAAGCAGTGTATTTTCCATGCATTTTGTATGTCACATGGGACCCCACATCGAACTAGAAAGTGAAAACTATGTCACTCAACATCTCTGAATGCATGCACTGTCTAATCAGAGGATACTCGGTGATCAGTACTTACTCACGAGCTGTTGTGTTAACATTCCCCACAAGCCGCTTTATGATCAGGAATACATATATTTGTATTAAGTACAACAGCAGCCAATAACAGTTCAGTATTCTTCGGGCGTGAACAACCAGTATTTGCCAACCAATCACGTGAAGAAAACTGAAACAAAACGACAGCCTATAATGCTTTTTATAATTCCTGTAATATACGTTTTCTTCAAAATTGTTTGAATTTATAACATTGACATTTTTTTTCTTTTGCTTTCATCTTTACAGCCATTTGTTGTGAAAAAGAAGATGACCTACCCACACAAGTCATTTTTAGCGCTGGGCCTTGTAGGCGGTGCTGTTGCTGTAGCGACTGTGGTGATTATTGCCTTGGTTATTGTGCGTAAAAAGACGCAGCGTGTGCCCGTGAATAATGGTTCATCGAAGTGGACCCTAAGATGACGATGGAACAGCGACACATCACAATGATGCAACACAATGGGTACGAGAACCCTACGTACAAATACTTTGAAATGCAGTAAGGGTTTTGGGGTGTATAGAAAATGTTTTCAAATGAATCTCTAACATGTCTCGGCGAAGTAAATTGTGCAAGCTTTACTATAATTGGTTGAAGTTTATTCTCGCTGAAAACCGAGACTAACCCGAGCTGCTTTTGAGGTTCATTTGATTGAGAAGTTTTTGTAAATATGCATGAAGTACCACTCTTCCCACCCTTCTTTTAAAACACTAGTTCAATCCTTTCCTGTAGAGAATAGAATACAGGACGTTCCATTTCATTAAAGGGGGTGGTGAAGACTGAAAATGTAAAATATTTATGGCCATTTGTGTGTAGTTAGTGACTGTTTTTTGTGGTACATCATGCATATGTTTTACAGCATCAAATACTCCCCAGATGAAAAGAGAGAGAATGTTTCCCTTCATATTTGTCACTGTACTGCCTATTTACCAATCAAGATTGTATGTCATTTTTAATGTATTCCATATTCTGCAAACTACAGCTGTAAGGGGGAGAAGAATAAGTTGAATTGTTCGTGCTAGAATCTCAAATTGCTGGCGTCAACCATATCACAGATTCCTTTGGAGACTGTCTTTCTTTCAACTGCAATTTATTCAAAGTTGTCTGTGTCACCATGATTTGTGCTTACACACCTCTTCCAAAAGCCTAGTCAAGTGGCATGCATTTCCTAACCAATTGTAATATCACCCTATCACCAGAAAAAAATGTCATCTTGCTTTGCATGAAAACGTATGAATAATAAATAGCTAATAAAAAAAATGTACCGTGCTGACGTGTTCTTAAAAATATGACGAATTGTGGAAATTATTGTAATTTTTTCGAAAGAGTCTGAATGTAAACCAGTGTTTTATGTAGCCTTTTCTTTTACTGGTGTCTGTTTCTAACCAGTTCCAACCTTTCTTTTTTTTTTTAATCACAATCAAAATACTGGCATATTTAAAATTTTTAGCAGCCCAGATTGGTGTTAACTTCGCTACTTGTAATTTTTTTATTATTCTGATTCTATTAGAGGGAAAGGAATCAAGTTTTATTTTATTGTTTTGTTTTTTAAATCGTCAGTTTTATTTTGTAATTACAAATATGTTGATCACGATTTTTTATACGTAGCTTAGTAGTAGACACTGATATCTTGTATATTGTACCCTCTCATTGGTCTTACCTATATATAATGGTCCACGATATTGCGAACTTGCTTTGATGAAGTATTCACCCTACCTGTTCCTAATGCCTCCCACCCCTGGCAGTATATTAATATAACCCAGTGTCACAAGACAATAGGATTGTACCAACTGTATCTAGATAGAAGGGGTGCTAGGGCTATGTTTGATAGGCATTTTTCGTAACTGTAAAAAAAAAAAGTTAAGTGGATTGTATGTTATTTGGAGTTTACTTCATGTTAAAGCCATTTTTTGGTAAAAATGTACACAAATTGCAAGTATTTACCATTTTAGATGTATAAATAGAAAATTTGCTGTTAGGTGTTTTAGCAGATGTAATTTGGCCACAAAACTTCTGAGTATTGAGTTAATCGACCTTGAAGACTGGAGCATCAAGTCGGCAAACTGAGAAAAGCATTTATGACATGTGACCTGCATAACCGATCAGTACACTGTGATCTTGTGTACTGGAAAGATACATAGATGCGTTTCCTTTCTCAATCTCAATCTCAGGCTCTACCTTCCACTCTGGTGGAAATGTACCATCTTGTATGCAAACGTGCTTTGTGAGTGGTCAAGAGGGATTAAATTCTGACGAGGACTAGTTGTTGAATTTTCTCGATACTCTGTTCATGACGCAGTGTTGTCTAATATCCACTGATAAATAATTATGCAAATTAGTATTGTGAGTTTGGAGTGTATATACGCTCGCATACCATTAGTTAAGACCACACAGAACCGATGCACTGGTATGTACTGTTGATTGAACTGGCAATACTTCCAGTACCCAATATTTTGATGCTACTTTTCTTGTGAAATTGAGTAGTTACCATACTGGGAAAGATATTTACCTGTTCTCAAAAGTCAATTGCAAGGATTCTGAATGCATTGTAACATGCATAGATCAGACACAACAGTAGCGTGATGATAATTGTTGATTGCTTTAGATTTTGTGCATTCTGATACCGTCATTAAAACCTTACCCACAGCAATATTTGAAACTAGATTTAAATTATGTTTATCTTAATGATGGAAACAAATTGAGATATAGTGATAAATATTTGCTAATGTTTCTGTAGTATGGAATTTCGTAAATTCTCAGTTCATGTGTGGTCTTATTTAATGATTTTTTTCCTGCAACTGCCCATTGTGTAGTTTATTCATTGTGTCAATATACATCCATGCCAGTGTTATATACATCACTTTTTTATTATTAAACTATACACCAAAAAAAAAAACATTCTTGTCTTCAGTGTTGCTTATTTTTGTTGTCCTGGAAATTAAGATAAATTCAGCCCCTCCTTTATTAGAGTAGAAGCAATTGCACTAGATGCGGGCAAGATTCTTGCACTTGAGGTGGTGGGGGACTGCGTACCTCGTGCCATCATTGGTGAAAAACTGAATGCGAGAGTCAAATGCACTTGCACAGATGCATGCTACTTTTCTGTAATGTTAGTTATTTTTGAATAAACCTGGTTGACGTCTCAATGGCTTATTAAAATTATTTGCTTTATTAAAAGCATGCACAAAACAAACGGTAAGCTGGATCATTAACATTTGTTGCAAGCGACTTGGTATATAAGTGGTGGTAAATTTCTTTGTGGCCAGAGAGGGCGCTTTATTTGAAGGGTACATGTAGACGCAATGCCATCTCGATTTTGATTTCAAAGCGAAAACGAGAAAAAAATTCTACTGTTGAACAAGGGAAGAAGGCTAAGAATGTGATTAATGTTAGTTGGCATTAATGTGATGATTTAAAATTTGCCGACAAGCTGAATTTCAGGTCTATACTTTGTGTATATATATTTATATTTTCTTAAAGTATGCCCTCTAGAGGCGCAACATAAAGGTGAACAAAACGTCGACACAGTCCTATCACTGAGAGGGACTGTGGTCGGCAGAAGTATCCTTGTGTCGTCCCTCTGAAATATAGAAATCTTGTTAAAACATTAATTAAATTATGTAATGGAGGTCTTCATTGCCCAGCATTTCGACTAATTGTACCAATTGTAAAAAAAAGAGTAGACTGCTTTGTAGCATAATATTAAACTTCATGATATCTTTGTTCTGATACTCCTACTTCGGCCTAGGGGGGGGGGGCGCAGATTCCATTTTATCAGCTGTAAATCTCGGTTGACCCACCTCCTATCAAATATAAAAAGTGGGTGACCCACCCCATCATATTTTAAAACATGCTGATTGGGGTGTATAATTGGGGTTCAAGCCGCATTGCATGATAATCTGTTAGTTCTTTGGCAAATTCAACCCCAAAATATTTAGCCTATAACTGTGTGTTCATTCAAAAATGTATAGGTAATAGCAGAGGTACATTACTTGGGGTTTGTAACTACGGTGACATGATACCAAGATCCCGTCACAATCTCGCTCTCGCATAAGCGTTCCAACTCAGAAAATTGCGAATGTGCATGCCC